ATATATATATATATACATAATTATATTATATAATATTTATTAATATGTAAAAATATGCGATATTTTTATTTCGTTATGAGCGATTTAAAGAAGAATTTAAGTGTTTAATAATTAAACTTAAATTTTTCAACGATCTCTTGAAAAGTATACAGCAAACTTTTTGTGTAAGAAAATGTTTAAAAAATTTTTTCACAAAAATTACTTTTATGTGAGAGTATATTTAATATAATTTAAGTATTTCTGTTTCTTTTCTCACTCTGTTTCGGAATCGTGAACAATTTTAGTCGCAGTACGAAAAATATAGCCGATAGTTCGCAATTGGTTTTTTCTCCGAACGCGTAACAGGACACCGCCGAGTTAAATCACTCGGTCGTTGCGTTTAGAAGTCAGCGCGATGTTCGCTATGCGTAACCTGAAATGGCTCGGTCAGGCAGCAGGCAGCAACGATTCTTGCCGCCCTCTCTCCCTCTTAATGCGTAAAAATAACCCGTCGGTCGCGATACGCGCATTTTTGGATCCGAGAAACACGCGTCACGACAAATCGGATTCCGCTTCCGATTTACTGTGAATTTTTATTGTCGCGTCCCCACTGCCGTCCTCATAATCTCGAAATCTCTCTATGCCTGAGATATTCTATTCGACGAAGAAACGAAGGAAAAATCGATAAGCACGACGAAATCGATTGTCTCGCGAGAAATTTGATTTCGCCAGAGAATATGCATAAATGTTTATACGAAGCCGATGCTTACGCGCGCCACCGCACCCCGCGTTTAAACTTCGCGGAATCTTTCGGCTAATGTTTTTGCTTCTACGAACATCGCGCAAACTCTGCTTCCCTTTCGTTTTCTGCTTACCAGGCATCTCTGATTACCAGCGAGCTCAGAATCCCGCACAATATTCGCCCGGTAGAAGCTAGCAGAGATGTAGCATCATCGTGCAATCGCAGTGGCGCAGGCCACTAAGATTCTCAAAGATCTTTAATGTTGAATAACGCATTATGCAAATGGCGAATTTCATTGTTCATTCCATTTCGAATTTACATTGTTTTTCAGAAATTCGTATATTTTCGTACTTGACAAAATATGAAAATTATTAATGAAAGAGAGGAAAGAGCACACGAAAAAAATATGAAAGAAGATACCAAGTCAAGTGCATTTGTATACAAAATAACAATACGATGTTAATGATAATGATAACGATAACGATAATGACAGTTCCCACGTGAAGATGTAAATGAGATTAAATTATTATAGCGTACTTCGAGTGCTTTCGATATCAGTTATTTTACTGTTCACAAAGTGAAGTACATAGTCTTCAATTTATATCGCGATATCGATAAAATCGCTTATTCCTCTTATATGCAAACAGAAATGCATCGCGATGGTTTCGTCCGTAAATTTTTAAAGCATGCGATAATAGAAAAAAAACGATATCTTTTTCAACTTATATATAAGATGATTTCGTGGAGGAAGGTGAACAAACGCGTACGTCCCTGACGCGTCTTCGTTCTCCCGATCGCGCCGTACAAGTACCTTGTCGTTCAGGAAGAAAAGATCGCGAATGCAGTCGCGACAGATTTTTGTCCCTTCTTCTTTCCTAACCCCTTCCCCGCTCGCACGGTGATCGCATACCTGAGCGGAGTGACGTCACGAGACGAAAAGAGGCAGCGGAGCGCGAACGTTTGATATCGCCTTCCTTCGCGGCCTGGGCCCTCCTCAGCGAGGAGCCGACTCTATAAATAGGATATCCGGTCGCTCGCTAATTATACACCTATGCACGCTCGTTCGCCGAATGGCGAATCCGCGCGAAAGAAGCCCGGAATTTTCTTGATTTTCGAGAGCGAGAGAATTTCATTTCCGCGCCGGGTTCCTCCTCCTCTTATCCTTGAAACGCCGTCGTAAGTTGCTGCGAGAAAGGATAACGGACTGATCGCACGAACAATCGTGGTACGCCTATTCCACCCTGTATTGTGTTCTGAGGAGGCTGTAGACCGCATTCCTCCGCGAACAAAGAAAATTGCGCGAAGAAAAAAAATAACAGTATGATTAATCGTTCAGAGCGGTTTAAAATTCGGTTAGCGTAAAAGAAAGCAAAGAAGAACAAGTATGGACTTTAATTGAGTAGTTTCGTACCACGGTAAACTGACGAATTTTTTTCTGACGATCATTACCAAGTAAAATTAGTAAATTAGTATCTCCTTACATTATAATTATTAGTACAATTATCTTTTAATCGCTCAAATAACTGTAGATAATTTTTGCAAATTTTTCGAGCCGATATATTGTGTAAGTACAATATATTTTACATATTTATATTTATGTGATATTTTTGTACGCAGTTCATCGTTTAATTAGGTGTAATTAATTTACGAAAATAAATGTTTTTTTCGATTTGCATATATATGTGGAAGCTATACAATTATTCCATCTTATCTCATTTCGTTGTGAAATAGAATGTTAAAACGAAGCGCGTACCTTCTAATCGATATCTATGAATTTTGAATATTTGTTTGTAATTACATTCTCGTTCGATGCTGCAGATTTTCTTCTAGTGGACGAGTGAAGAGACACAACTACCACCATGGACGCGATTAAGAAGAAGATGCAGGGAATGAAGCTGGAGAAGGACAACGCGATGGATCGCGCGTTGCTCTGCGAACAGCAAGCTCGTGATGCAAACGCACGAGCTGAAAAGGTATAAAAAAAAAGAAACGATTATCTGTCATGGTGACTTTCAAATTAATCATAATTGTTTGTACACATATAAATGTAGAAATGTGTACGTTAAAAATTGTAATGAATTTAGAATTGAATTGAGACGATTTATTTATAGCCTTAAATAAAAATATGTATCGAGTTAAATTATGATATTTCCAAAATGATAATGAAAAGAAATAATAAGATACTTTAATTTATACAGGCTGAAGAAGAGGCTCGTGCTCTGCAAAAGAAGATCCAGACCATCGAGAATGAGCTTGACCAAACTCAGGAAGCTCTTATGCAGGTCAATGCAAAATTGGAGGAGAAAGACAAGGCTCTGCAAAACGTAAGCGAATATTATTATTTTTATTATTGGATAGAAAAAGCACTCGACATTATTGGCCGATCAAGCGAGAAATAAATTTTATTTAACAATTATTTTGATTCAACGATTGATAGAGATCGAATATTTATCATTTTGTATTCTGTTCTTTTTATCCATTACTTTCTGAAATATTCATAAATTTTTCATATACAGAACTTTAGCTGCTTTCATAATAGACTGCTTACTCGGCGAAATATGAAATTTGAAAGTGACAGGTATTTGAAGAATTCCAAATTCTCAGACTTGCGAAAAGGAATTTTACTTTCGCATTTCGCATTTACTCATGAGACAAAAATAAGGAGTACAACGCAAGTTTTATTGCTGTTTAAGCAAAACAATAAAGAACATGTATCGAAATTTCGCGTAGCGGGCAAATTTTATGTCAGATAATTTATTTAATATATATATACTAGAATATTATATTACAAAATATTATATTACAAAAAAGTCCAGTAAATCTAGATCTATACAGTGTGTTGAATGTTAGCAAAAAATTCGAATAATAATTGAGGACCTCTTGATCTAACCTCATTAATCGACGAAATGTTTACGGCGAATTACCGGCGGTCATCAATGCAAACGTGCGCCGATTGATGGCGCCATATATTTGCGCAAGCGCAACCCGCGTCGACGCGCGGCACATCCATTTGTCCTCCACGAACAGTCCGTTCGCGATACGCGTAGCTTTCGCGTCGTTCGCTCGGGAATCTTCGGCTCTGCCCCTCTCCATGCGCCGTTTAAACCGCGTGGAGGGGATGACGCTCTTGTTCGCTGTACGCGCGAGCGAGACAGATAGAGTGTGTCTGGTGCACGGCGCAGAACGGCATGATTCTATGCTCCGTGTATGCGCCGCTGTATCGCCGTACGCGGCGTGTGCGTGACGAACCCGGTGGACAGTAACGACGCTGGCGCGGGGGAGAAACATGCGTCGCGACCAGTAACAGACAAGATGGCGGAGTGCCTGGTGCAGTGGTAGTAGAGCGGTGCATATCGCACGAGCCGCGTCAACACGGGGGGCTTCGGGTCGTTGGCGAGAGCTTGACAACAGCTGGAACGTAACATGGAACGTACGCTCTCGGCGACCGCGAAACGCCGCGGTCACCAGCATCATCCGCGGCACACCACGCGACGACGTCTCGATGCCTCCAGCAGAGGACCCGCGCAGTGTGGCCCTGCTGACGCTGCCAGGAACGCTACGTTCATCGGCGATGAGACGTCGTCCGCGAGCGTGACCGTCGACGATCGACTAGCCGCGACGGACCCACGTCCGTCCGTATCGCGGATGACACTCGGCACGAGATGGCCAACGCGGTTCAACGAAAACGAGAACTCGAGAATCCAGGTTCTTAAGGAAGATAAAAAAACGGAGGAAGAGGAGAAAGAAGGGGACCATAGGGACGTCCGACAAAGGCTCGCGCAGTGTAGCCCGGACGTTCCCGCGCTCGGCGAGAAAAAGGACGCTGAGCGCGGATCTGAGACGCAGGATCGGACGAACAGAAAGAGGAAATCTCCCCGATACAGTCCACGTGGGAAGAACGCTCCCGATGATCGTAACGAGAGTGACGATCCGGATAGCAAGAGCAACTCGCCCGAGCCCGAGCACGCGGTCGCGAGGGCACGCGGCGACGGGAACTCCGATGACGAGTCCGCCAACGTCGAGGAGGACCCGGAACTGGCGGAGCTCGCTAAGCTACGTTGCCCCAGCGAGCGCACGGAGGTCCAAGCCGAGAGGGAGGCCCGTAGGCGAAAGAGATGCGCTGACTATCCCGGCCTCGCCTTTGGCTGCTCCATATTCTCCAGCGACACGATGATGAAGTTCAGTCTGATAAAGAACGAACTCCAGAATATCATGGGCAATCAGCTGAAGCGGGTCAGTATCGCGCACGCCATATGACGACGAATGACGTATCGCGATAGGTAAATGAACGCGTCTAAAGGTCGTCGAGACCTTGATAACGTCGGTCAAGAGGTTCTCAGGGTCAGCTGGTATTCCTCCGGATTTTCGGCGAAAGTATCAGACTCACGAAACAACACTTTGAATACATTTCATTTTTCTTACTTTTCGATCGGAAAAATTATTCCGCGGGGATTCGATAGATTCACGTTCTTTATTGTTTATATACGGCGAGATTAATCAAAGAACTGATGCCGATGAAGCGTAAATGAAGGCGGTATATAAAACTTGTAATATTTTAGGATCGTCAGCGTAAAATCGATGATAGCAACGTAACTTGACGTTATCAAACTATCATTTCTAGATAACATCTCGACACATTTCATTTATATTATTCTAACTATTGCAAAATTAATAACATACGCATGACGCAACAAGAAAAAACAATTATTCTGCAAGTTTTTTCTTGTGAATGTAATACAAATCCTTTATCTAAAAATTATCTAATTTGATTTTAAAATTGATTGAATTAAAAAATGCTAATGAAATTGCTTTCGATTTATAATGCATTTTTTTTCCATTTTGCGATGTATGTTTATTTCTGCAAATGTTGCAAAAATTGCGTGTAACATGAATTACATAAATGGCAATAGCGAGATTCCAAAGATTCGCGAGAAATATATTCGATATCTCGAATTTCGTTTAGTAGAAGATAGCCTTTAATAACAATTGCTATTTGACAATGCACTTTTTTCAGACGATCAATTAACAAATCATTAAATGCGAGCATTAAATAAAGGAAGAAAACGAACGGACTTCGTGCTCGTTGTGTTACCGATAAAACGTAGTAGGCGTTTATTTGCAATTAAAATCATGCGAGAATTGTCACAATCATTTTCATTCGCGACGATGACGGTGAACTCGGCTCGGCTCGGCTTATGATATTATACAATCGAGAAAAGATTTATACAAATGCACGTTCTGAATAATTGCGAAATTATTTAACGTATATGGATTCTCGAAAATAAGCATATTGAACCAATACATATTCATCTCTATATGTGTGTATAAGTAAATATTATTTATTTTTGCGTTACATAATTTTTTTTTTTCACTGATTTCAACAATCAGAATGGTTTATATCGAAAATTTCAATTAGCATTGCTCTATTACATTATTAATAAAAAGCGAAAAGCGAAAAAAGCAAATAATTAATGATCTAAAATTATCAAATTAATACTTCGCCTACATTATCGCGATAACAAATAAAGATTTAAGGATTAGATAATAAAATGATATTAACTTTTATAACAAACCGAACTTTGATATCTCATACGATATCATGCACATTTTTCAGAGTGAAAAGCCATTATGTATTTCGTAATCCTTTAACTATGTAACTGATACACGAACATAAATTGTTTCGCTGTTTGACGGGATAATTTCTATATTTCGACTCAAATTATTGATCTGAATTTATCGGGAAATTTTAATTAAATTTTGCGTTAAATTTTAGGTATTTACTACATTGAAGATTTATTATTTCTAAAAAAGATATTAAAAAAGCCGAGATATATCGAATAATATACGAATTCTGAATATTGGCAACATTACGAATAAAAAATCTTGTTACAAGCAACATCCCTGGATGGATAGCCGAGAAAGTTCTTGCTAATGACGAGCGCGAGATCCTCTTGACGACGAATGGCATTTATTATTAGGGTTACTGAACGAGGACAATAGGTTACGCGCACACGAGTCTCTCGCTCAATTCACCGATAGAAAGCCGTTGCCTGCCAGATAATGTTTTACGTATTATCTACTCTAATTCAAAAACATCGAATCTCTTGTGTTTCTGTACTTATCTGATTTTTCTTTTCAGAATTGGAAGCAACATTCACATTTATTAATATCTATACTTTGTATCAATAATCTTATTTCCTCAATTGAATTTAATTTGCTTTTTACCAAATAATGCATATTATGAATTTTAATTACGAAAATTATTCTACTTTCTCCAAATTATTCTTTAGAATAAAAATTGAGATTACGTCGCATTTAACCTTCGTATGTTTATTATTCAATTTATATAATTCGCGTTTCATGAATTAAATTTTATGAGTTTAAATTCAAATATCGTTAATCCGGTTGCAATCTCACTTGTGATTTTGCTTTTGGAGTCAAAATTAATATTGTCATGTCACTCAAATTTTAATCGTATTATAAATTTACAATTGCTATTAAATAATCACGTATGTAAATAATTAAAACGTGAGAGGCTATACTGAATTTCTTTCCGAAAATGCATTTTCCAAGTTACATTTTGTGCCAGAAACTGTCATGTTTATTAATTACTATCTAATGGAAGTTTAAAAATAATATAAAATAAAATCTAAAAATAACTCTGTTATTTTAGTAACAAGTAAAATTAAAAATAAACCGAAGCAAGAAAAATATTTTTCTCGCTTTACGTCACCTCCGCGTTACATCGGAACACGCGGTATACTTAATGTAACATACGCATTACGATATATCGAATCATAAAATATTGAATATTATATGGTGTATTATGAAGCTTCAATAGCATCCGGGATCGTTATATTCGATCGGATATTCTATCCATTTGTAATACATGAAAACCAATTGGAAGAGTAAGATAGTCATAAAGGCAACATAATTCCATCTTCTTTATTTACATCGCGCAATTCTCACGTAATTCTTTATTTGGATTCAATCTTTAGATTTGGAAATCGTACTATAGCGTTCAATGACAAGCGTTTGAATCTCATTGACAAATTCTCTTCTTTATTGCGAGAATTAAATTTGTCCGTCTCGTCAGCCGCCTTTATTTTTGTAACACTCAGTAAGACTCAGTTGAATCTCTCTCGACGATGATCGACGCTATTTGCTCGTCGTCATCATCGGACAATGGAAATTCTTCCCTCTGATCGCTGGGATCGTTCCTCTCGATGATGCTTCCATCACTTCTTTTTCGGGGCCCCGCCCTTTTGCATACGCTTCTGGTGCGTCTGCTCAAGTTTACATCCCACGATCCGACTCGTCAACATTCTAAAAATACGTGACGGCCGTGATCCAGCGAGACTTTTATTCGGGAGTGCGGGACCAGATTGCGTAAGTTCTTGCTCTCGCTCCCAGAAGTCTGCACGAATAAATTCAGAGCGCGTCTAGAAAACGCACCGAAATTCCGTGCAAAACGCCAGCGTCATTTCGAGAATCCGGAACATTCCGATCTCATCTCATAGACGGTATTGAAAAAAAAAAAAACAACTTTTTATGTCCATCTCTCCCTTAGATCAGATTAATCAAGATGCCAGAGATTTTTATATACATTTACCATTATTTTTTCTTAAGTAATATTGTATTTTAATTTAACGCAATTTGTGAGTTAGTGAACCATACAACTTAAAGCTAGTCTTAAATGGCAAGAAAATATCAGTAATGAAAGACGTATCGGCGTAAATTGAAAACCCATTTATGTCGTGTCTCCACTTGCGAAACATCGCTTCGAAACGCCCACGTATGATGCAGGATTTGGCACACGTGCTAATTTTATTCGCTTTCGACTCATTATCGAGCGACGATCTTTTTCATCGCTGTCTCTTTTTCTTATCATTTTATGTTTATATTTCACAATTTCTCGACTGTCTCAATATGCTTGACGATCCTAACATTCATCGATTGATGTTTGATGACTATGCGATTTGCGACACAAATGAACATTTTTTTCTTTACTTGGTGAAAGCCAAGATAACAGACAATCAGAATCATCGTATGTTTTATAAATAGCATAGGCCTGTTTTTGTCGAAAAAAAGAACCTGTTGATTTCTTAACGAGATTGAAACAATCTCAAATCGTATATAATTTCGATAAGCGCGAACGATTTTTACTGAAATTTTGAATTATTATAAACCTAAAAATCGAAATCGAATTGAATTGATATTAATCTAAAGGCACGGATATAATTATCATCTTAATCCATTTTTAATGATTCTCAATGAAACTTCTTTATTCTATCTAAATGAATGAAATTTATAGTTGATTAGCATACTAATGCATCAAATATAAAACATTTAATAAATATTAACAGTAAATTACATAATAATAATATATATATATATATATATATATATATATATATATATATACTTCTTTCACGCTGCAAGATAAGAAGAACAAGAAAGGCTAGGGAAACATTTGGAAAGGATAGCTTTCTCAACAGAATTGGAACAATGCCAGGTTAAATGCCGTTTGGGAAACAGATGCGAATACCTCCTGTCGGAATTTTAGATTAACAAAATTTATAATCAGAAATATGCCAAAATTAACGTGCGTCGAAAATGAACATTCCGTTTTGTAAACTTGAGTTAGAATTTATTGGACTTCACGAATATAGTGTACTTTGATTTACAAAACATCAGCAAGATTTTATGCAAAATATTGATATCTAATCTTGAAGTGAAGTGATACAAGAGATTAACACCGCGTTAACATTTGAAATTATTCAAAAATGGAAAATTAATTAAATTATAGTTAATTATTTTATAGTATATGATCAAAAATTTTTATATTTTTAAAAACTTTTATACTTCTAAAGAGATTTTCTTAATCAAAATAATATTATAAAAATTTAAATTTAAATCAGGATTAACAGGATTACGCAGAAACAGTAAACAAGAATCATTCTATTAAAAATGTAAATCGCGATAATGGAGATTAATTACGATCGCGTGCACGTTTAATTAAATATCAACGGTATATTAATTACTAGTTGTACAACATGAATTATATAAAAATAGACTACAATAAGGTTGTTTCAATGTTCCGATCTACAACAAAAATATAAATATAATATGAACAAACGACGAAAAAAGTGATATGAGTTATTATGATAAGAGTTTATTAACGTATGTTCAGTCTTTTACGTTTCGCTTTGATGTGTTATATTGCACTTCTT